TCTGGGAAGTTCCCTGTGTTCAAATTATCTTGTTCTGTTGCTCTGCTTGTGGAGTTCCCGTTCCCTCCAGCTCTTACTATTTCCCACTTCTTACATAAAATTCCATTACACTTTATTCACTTTGTATCACCCCTCTAGCTCCCTCCCTCCTCCCCTCCCAATTCCTCCCTTCCTCCCCCTTCTCCACACATGCCCCTCCCCAAGTCCACTGGTAGGGGAGGGTTTCTTTTTCTTCCTTCTGATCCTAGTCTGTTAGGTCTCATCAGGAGTGGCTTCATTGTCTTCTTCTGTGGCCTGGTAATGCTGCTTCCCCCTCAGGGGGAGGTAGGTGATCAAAGAGCAGGCCAATCAGTTCATGTCAGAAGCATGGATACCGTGACAACTTTGTTTATTTTAGCTTCACTCTGTTGGAAAAAAAATCTTTCTTATGTAGACCTTGCTTAGTCGATTTGGATCTGGAGCCTACTAATGATTTATTTGTGTGTTCTCAGTGTTTAAGCAAAGATGAATTTAGCATTTCATGAGATGTAGTATTCCCCTCTTGATATTCAATGACCCTTATTCAACTCCACTTTGATTTCCTTGGGGCTACTTGGATAGTTCAGACACTTCAGATAATGGTGGACCACTTATACCTGTTTCATTAAACATTCAGTCTTTGGTAGGTGGTATGTGACACAAAATCTCATACCCAATCCTGTATCATGGGTAATGAAATGTCTGGGTCCCAGATCACAGCAAGCTAAATATAATGAAACTTCTGAAAACTGCCTGTCTCCCTATAATTTTTTGGGAGAAAACGAGTAACGTTCTCCAACCTAAAGACAGTATTGCAGTGTCCTTCTACGAGTGTGAAGGCAGGTAGCTTTCTCGTGATTTCCATGTGAGAAAGGTATGTATCAATACTCACTGTCTTACACACACATTCTAAGGCTTTGTAGGGAAGGTCAAGTTGGTATGAAGTAAATCTAATGTAGATGCAGGAAAAGGGAATGAAAGTGTGGTATACTAGAAAGACCATCTCCATATAATCAAGAATCCATTAGCCAGTTCCTCCTCATTGTTACTACTGCAAAACCTTCCACATTTTCAAAGAATCCAGAAATTTGTAATTTTGTCTGAAATTTTCTTTTGCACTCACATTAATTTAAACAAACAACAGAACCACATCCACAGTACGGAAATCATGAACACACACTCAGTTTGCTACCCAATATTGAGTCAGACTCATGCATGAGGATGTGTTACTTATCATTGTTGTAACAAACTGTTACATGTTTAATGGCTTAGCTCAGTTTTCATAGCTCTGAAGTTTAGCAGACTTCAATGGGTCTTCACAAGGCCCAAATCAATAACTTGGCAAGAGTTTTGTTGTATAGGAGTTTGTTCCCTCATGAATTTATAGGCCTATAGTCTTGCAGTCCTATTTTCTTGCTGGCTATCAGCTGAAGGTCATTTACAGCTTCGAGAGCAGGGGTTCTCAATCTGTGGGTCATTTTCAGGGCCAATTGATCTTTTCACAGGGGTCATCTAAGACCATTATGACTCACAACAATAGCAAAATTAGAGTTATGACAAAGCAAAGAAAATTTTATTGTTGGGGGCCACCATATTCGAAGAACTTTATTAATGGACTGCAAGCATTAGGAAAGTTGAGGACCACTGCTCTAGAGGCTGATCATCTCCTTTAACTGATGACTCTTCCATTTCTAAAAATAGGGATGGTATATTGATTTTGTTTTAGGCCATAGCTCTCTACTGCTCTGTCGTTTCTACCTTCTGATTCCTCTAAGAATTCATCTAGTAACTAGAAAAATGTGAGTAAATTAAAGTGTTCATCATTAAGCATGGAAGAGAAAAAAATAATGATTTAGCTTAAGGAAGTGTGTGAACCCACCTGCATAATTCAATATAATCTTCCTATTTTAATATCTACTACCTTAATTCTGTCTGGTTGCTTTGCCATATTACATATCATCCATAGGTCATGGAAGGAAGGGACATGTTTAAATCTCTTTTCTGCAATGCATTTTTCTCTATGTGAAGAAAAGTGTCTTCCCTAATGCAGCATCTGTCAGACTTAATGTGATACACCAATAAAAGTATGTTTCTGAAATGTGTCATTTTAGCTCTCTTCTAGATGCTCTTGTTCTCCAGGCCTATAAGGGGAACTCTGGCTCCTTCACCCCCTCACTCCCTCCATATTTTGTGCTCAGGAAAAGGTAACCTGTTGAGAAGAAACTCTGACTTTGGGTGACTCAGTGGCTTTCTGCTTCGAGTTGCAGGAGGTTCCTTGCAATATGAGGCTGAAAATGCAGTGGAAGAAGATTCTCTTTTCCCCGTGCCAACTGGCCAGGAGACCAGTCCAGAATTTCCAGTGAATGAGAGCATCTTTGAGATTAAGCCACTTAACTCCATCCTGGATGGCGACTGCAGCTCCACTCGTGGCTTCCCCACACAGGAGTCCTTTACCATTGCCTCGTGTGCCTCAGAGAGCCATTCTCAATGGGTCCATACCCCCATTGAATGTACAGAGCTGGACCTGCAAAAGTTTTCCAGCTCTGCCCCCGGGACTGGAGTTGAAAACTTGCGAGAGAACACAGCTGAAAGCTTTGGAGCATTATGTACCATTTGAAGTTCCCAGCCTTTAACTTTACTGAGGTGAGCTAGAAAGGTAGGGTTAAAAGACCAGAACTGTGGGCCACACTCAACAAATTTCCAAACCCAGTTCTATTGCTCTATAAGGATTGGGTGGAAGAATAGCAGGAAACTAAGATTGATAGACATTGGAGAAGCAATACTTGGGGCCCTAAGTTTTGAGCTAAATTTACTACATCAGACTTCAGCCCATCAATTATCCAGAGACCTGGCAAGTTGACCTGATGCTAATTTCTTCAACCAGCCCATACTATCGACTAGTCATATTCAGTTTTCTCCTTTCATGTGTATAAGCAGCAGAGCTTTGTACACACACATATGCAGCTCTATATTCAGATAAACCTCAATTCCTGAATAGTCTTAAGAACTTGTGCAAATTATTTTACTTTTTTCAGACACAGAGCTTTCCACTAATCAGGTATTTTGAGGATTGAATGAAAACATATGCAAATATCTGTTATAATGCCTGCTTTATGGTGTTTATACAGTGCCGGATTTCCCTTCCTTTTCCTGCATTCAGTCACAAATTACAAATTCCTTTTATATCCTCCATATTTTTCCAAACATCATCATCTCATATGCCTTTTACGGTAGGCAAATAAGAAATAAGTTAATCTCATTTTAAGCAAGTGTGAATTGAGAAACTGAGATGAAAATGATTTTGCTTAAAAATCACAGAACAACCGAATCTCAGAAATAGATGAGAACCCAAGATTAGCAGCTCCATTATAGAGCTCATCCAATTCCATCATTGGATTTTGAAATATATGTGTGTGTGTCTCAATATATGCCACATATATATGTGTGTGTGTATGTATATACACACATATATATTTCTTAGTACAAACTGTTATGTGTGACGTAGTGTGAAAAAATTTCACTAAAAGGGTCATGTCAAATGATTCTAAAGTTTTAAGAATTTGGAATTTTGTATCCTTTACTTTTGGATTAAGAGGTTATCTAGTTCTTGTTCATATATTGCAGTGAACAAGCAGTCAAAATTGCTCAATGTGTAGTACAGCTATGACTAAAAGATTGGAACTCATTATAAAAAGCATGATTGTATGTCATACTCATGGATTCTGGCTCTGTTCCTTGAGTCACACATCTGACTACTCTGCCATGTGAGAGAACTGAAGACAACATCTGTCTAGAAAGCACCACTTGATATTTTTCTAAAGCACATGGTGCTTAGAACTTAACTTTATGGAAATTATTCTTGCTAGTTTGGCCTAAGGTAGGTCTGTCATCTCCATAGCCAGGTGATTTATTTCTGCTCTTGTGTCCTAAATCACTTGTCTAACCTTGAACCTTTAGAGAAAAGTAAGAGGAAGGTGGTGATCAGATTGCATCAGAGGATTCTAACTTGCTCTGTTCTTTTTCTAGGTCTCTTTTGTTCTTGGCAACCTTGCAAATGATTGTTGCTCGACTTTTCTGTTCGTCTATTCAGCAACAGTAGCATGGGCCTGGGATGTAGGTCCCACAATAACCCCGTACTCTAAAAATGGGGTATACAGAGCACCATCCTACCAGAGGATTAATTCCCCACCATTTGTCCTAGACTGAACTTGAACATTTTTTGTTTGTTTGTTTGTTTGTTTGTTTTCTTATCCTAGTATGGAGATCCAGATTCCATAGCCATTGGACTGCTGGGCACATTCTTTCTGTTTAATTATAGCAGTTGAGGGGAATAACAATGAATGGGGTCGAGTTTTCCTGCCTGTATAAGTTTTCTGCCTATATTTTTGACAGGTAGGCCTGAAATAAGTGGTATACAGACTATGGTGTCATCCACCTACCACTTTAGAGAGAAATATGACATGCTTCCTCTTTCAGCTTTCTGCTTTGACTCTCTCTTCCACCCTTCCTACACACACCTCCACACACACAAAGTGAGATGGGAGGCCTGACCTCTTGATTCTACAACACATATCCTACACTTCTATAACTGTGATAGCTGTGATGCCAGCAGGTTTGTTACAGTCTTCATTCTCAAAGACAGGCTACCAACACTCTCTAGTGGGGATTCAAATCAGTGCCTTTTAGATTTTTTTAACTGTCTTTTCCTAAATTTCTTTCAATCTTTTTACTCTAATATTCTTACCTTTATCCCCTTGCAGTCAAGTCTTGACTCTGAAGTTTCTGAGGTGCAGGAGGTAGTGCGCTGCAGAGCTAAGTGGACCATTTGGTGCTTTCTTGGCTTAGAGAATAGTTAGTCCATTTCTCTTAAGCCTGAGCCTCCAGTTTCACATGCTTCTTAACATGAATTGAAAACTTTTTCTTCATAATGTGTTTTTGTTTTGTTTTGTTTTTGTGGAACATGGCAGATGTGACCCTCAGGACTCAGATGTGACCATCATGTATTACCTTTAAGTATTTCTTTGTGTCCAAAATAAACCACTAGATTGTTCCTATTCCCTCACAGTAGTTCCAGTTTAGATGGGGAAAGGTGGTCAAATGTGTAAAGCAACTGAATATTTTTGCTTGGGAGTAATATAAACTATCCTGGATGCTGGTGTGACTTAATTTATTAAAAAGAAACTAAAGATAAGCACAACTATTCATGGTCAAATATGTTAAGATGTACTAAACATGTGAGTGCTGAACTTTACTCGCATTATAGTTGTCATCTACATGACTCATTATACATATTTTGATGTAGGCAGTGCAGGGATTACTCAGTGAAATAATGATGCATAGCAAGTCTATAATGTTTCCAGTCATTTCTCCTAATTTGATATTTCTGGATGACTCTTAAAAGGTAGGATAGCAGATCATACAAGTATTCTTCCAACTTGTATGATCAAGATGGCAGAGCAGTACTGGAATTTTGAAGCAAGCCTGCATTTCATTACAAGTCTTTTTCTCAAAAAACCCTAGGTATAGGAATTTAGATAGTGTTAGACTACTTGCCTTTAGCATAAACAAGGTCCTAGATTTCATCCTAGCATTGTAGAAGAAAAAGATGGTTGGAGAAAGGAAAAAAAGAAGGAAAGGAGACATTTCCACCACCAAGAGATGTACCATAGCCTGTAACCTGCTAAGTGCTTTGGAGGCTGTAGTAGAGTTTTTCACTGGAAAACATCACATGAGTTTATCTTTTACTAAGAACTGTTCTCGCTTTTCTTACAACCAGCTATTAAATACTGTTTTTAAGATTTTTCTGCTTGCCTTTTGGTTCCCTTGAAACATAGTACTCTGTAAGTCTGCTGGAAGGCCCAGTAGATGTTCAAAGAGCAGTGGTCCTGAGTTGTAGCATAACATAAAGGAATTTTCATATGCATCTCCTGGGCCTTGTATAATTTTGAGGTTCTATATAAAACCAGGCTGCAGTTTGATTTCAGGACCCTACAGAACATTTTGAACCGATTTTTCTTTTCCTATGTCTGAGCTCTCCAACAAACCACCCAGCAGGCTTCTAAAGATACCCTTAAGCCCATTCAGGGTTACCTAAGTGAGGATGTGTAGGTTGCCTCCAGGTATGGGTATTTCTTTTGATGTGCCAGTTTGATACCTAATGTGCTGTCCATTTGATGGATTTTGAAAGTTCATTTTGGCTTTAGGTCTTACTTACACATTTTAAGAACAGAGAGACACAAGAATATTCTTGCAGATTATATTATTCTTCTTTATCTCAGAATCTTTCTGAAGCATGTACAGCTAGTTTCTATCCTTACAAGCTCTTGGTGGTTAAGGTAAAATGTGGGCTTCATCACGATGTATTCTACTTAACAGATTTCTGTTTTTCAGATTCTGTTAAGTATATCTTTAATAACAGCTCATCCACAAACGCTGATTAAGGGCCTTAAGGTCAAACAGCTCATAAGTGTGTTAAAAGCACAGTAGAAAAATGCTAAAGGTCCCATTGTACTTTGCAAGGGATTAAAAGCGTTTGAATCACAAGCCTGTACTAGGCAACCTGGTCTCATGTAAGTAATAACAAATATGTGTGAGCAAAGGTACAGACCTTGGTCTTTGGGCTCTCTGTACTTTTTATTCTGGGATATTTTATTCTTATCTCACCAGCTTTAATTAGTCATATCTATACTTCTGGTGAAGAACTAACACCCAACTTGAGGTGGATTCAGTTTAAGTAGGTTCCAGGTGTTGAACTTTGTGCCTGGCACTGCTTCAAACTCAAGTCCATCACTGCTTCTCGGTGAAAAAAATTGATGATAAAACAGCAAGAACAATGTAATTAAATGACCCAGGCGCACCACTTAACTGTGCCTGTACATAGCACCTATACCAAGAATCATCTTGGTTCCAGTTTTCTTGAATCAACAGTTGGAGTTGATAATTACTTTTGTTTTGCTTTGCTTTCTACAGTATCTTGGGTAGAAGTGAAATAAAGGATGGCTTATTTCATATTTGTGTGCTGGTTCCAGTAGTGTCCTTATAAGGTGGAACAACTTTGAATATTGTTTTTATGTGTCTTCTACTTTGTGATATAAGTCATTTGAGGAATTCATTAAGAAATTTATTCATTCTGAGCCTAGACAGTAGTTATGCTTTACATATTTGAACTAGTAAAAGAAAGTATTGTTTACAAGGGAGAGGTAGCTTTCTGGTAGAGATGAGTCAGGCTTCAAGGTTCACTTTTTTCCTCTCCTTAAAATTTTCCTGGAATTTTGAAAGGTTGTACATAGTGTGGAAGAACACTTTCTTCCCTAATGGTGTTAATATTAGCTTTTAAGTAATACTGTCAATACTATACCACTCTCCCCCAAAAACAGCCCTGCCATACTGAGATGTCAGCCTCATAGCTCTCATTCAATTTATTGCCAAGGTCTTTGGTCATTTATGTTTAATGTAGGTAGATCTTAATTGTTGTTTTCCTTAAAATGAGCTATTTATAGAGATTCTGTTAAAAATGTTGAGCCATATGCATGTGAGGATTCTGAAAAATTGTGTTTGGTTTATGAGAATCTGTAAACAATTCATATTAATAAACAGAAGTACATCCAAATGCCTTTTTTATATCTCTGCTTTCAGAGAACTGGTGTGAGTCATTTCATTGTTTTATGTCTCTACTCAGTCAGTACAGAAAGAAATATGTTTCTAATCATTTGTTGTAGCATCAGGACTAAGGAGATTTTGACTTGTAACCCAGAAGATCTGGGTTATAGTCTAAATTCTCCTGCTTTCAAATTGTTTATGACATTTAGAATCTTGTTTGACTATAGATCTACCAGATATTTTTGTGTTCCAAATTATTAAAGAGGGTTGTGCAGTCTTAAGAATGTGTGCATGTATCTAAAGGTATAAACCAAACTCTTGTAGTTTATAGGTGTGCATCTCCATTTAGTCATACTATTTTAAAAATTAGGTAAAGAGACACAGGTATGCACATGCATACACATACACACACATGCTAGACATTCTGTAAGATTGCCTTTTAATAGTGCTTTGCCATTGTTTGATCTGTATTTTTGTTTACAGTGTTATTGAATTCAAGGGGCTGCTAAAGGAACAACATTTGATTTGAAATGCTCTTCACTACTATAATTTTATTTAAAACCAGGCAAATTAAATTTCTTCCTGCCTCAAATATTGTCTAATTCTAATAGAAATACATACTGACAAGGATGTGAAAAAAGAGAAAATCCGTACATTGTTGGGATTGTAAAATGTTATGACCTTTTTGAAACATCTGCCATTTCCTATAAAATTTAAGCTTCAGTTGTGATATGATTCAATAATTCTACTCTTCAGTATATACTCAAGATAATTAAAATCATGTGCACATAATACATTGACTACTCTTAGAAACATTGTTTATAATATTCAAAATTGATATCATCCAATTTCATTAACTGATGAATGAACAATTTGGAATGCAACATAAGATGTTAAATAATTAAAGTGATTGAAGTTCTGGTACTTGATATGTCAGAGTTCAAGCTCAAATCATACTAAGTGAAAGAATCCATGTACCAAAAGGCACATATTGCACGGTTTTATTCATATTATATGCTTGTTTAATGTACCCTAGTAGGGACAGAAGGTAAATTAGTGGTTTCTTGGTTCTGGGTACAAGAGAAGCAACTAAATGTTAGTAGTCACATGTTATCTTATTGGGAAGATTAAAATGTTATGTTAGTAGTTGCACTTATCAGTAAGTTTGTTAAAAATTGGTGTCAGGCACATTTGAAGTGGATGAATTTTATTATATAAAAATACTCAGTAAAGAGGGTTTAAAAAGATATCTCACGATCTCCTAGCTCACTTCGAGATCTGTCAATTTAAATGCTTTCCATACAACTTCATACCCTGGGCTAAGCAGGTTCTCTCTCTCTCTCTCTCTCTCTCTCTCTCTCTCTCTCTCTCTCCATCTCTCCCTTTCCTTCCTCCCTCTTTTCTTCTCACTTCCCTACCCTTACTTACTCAGTTCAGTGTAAAAAGGAGACACTTTAGCTCTTTTATTTTTGAACTATCAACATAGCCAGAGAGAAAAAGAAAGAAGTATGTAGGAGGATCTCAGAAGAAGAAAGTTTATGCATAAAAGAACCAGAGCAGGTTCTGGCTATTATGAATAAAGCTGCTACAAACATGGTTGAGCAAATGTCCTTGTTGTATACTTGAGCATCTTTTGGATATATGCCTAGGAGTGGTATAGCTGGATCTTGAGGAAGCAGTATTCCTAGTTGTCTGAGAAAGTGCCATATTGATTTCCAAAGTGGTTGTACAGGTTCACATTCCCACCAGCAATGGAGGAAGGTTCCCAATTCTCCACAACCTCTCCAGCATGTGTTGTAACTTGAGTTTTTTATCTCAACCATTCTAATGGGTGTAAGGTGAAATCTCAGGGTCCTTTTGATTTGTATCTCCCTGATGGCTAAGGGCTTTGAGCATTTCTTTAAGTGTTTCTTTGTAATTCTATATTCTTCTACTGAGAATTCTCTGTTTAGTCCATACCCCATTTTTTAATTGGATTACTTTATTTGTTGCTTTTTAACTTCTTTAGTTCTTTATATATACTGGATATTAGCCCTCAGTCAGATATAGGGTTGATGAAGATCCTTTCTCAGTCTGTAGACTGTCGTTTTGTTCTGATGACAGTGTCTTTTACTTTACAGAAGACTTTCAGGTTCATGATGTCCCATTTATTGATTGTTGTTCTTAGAGCCTGTGCTGTTGATGTTCTCTTCAGGAAGTAATCTCCTATGCCAATGAGTTCTAGGCTCTTCCCCACTTTTTCTTCTAACAGGTTTAATGTGTCTGGTTTTATGTTGAGGTCTTTGATACACTT